AGTAACTCGATTAGAGTTACAAGCAGAGTTCATATACAGTTTGGTCACATGAAAAGGTGATTACATGCTCTGGAAAATTAGACATCAGTCTTTTGAAATCGCTCGCTTATTAATGAATTTAAATCTTAAATCCTACCAATCATACCAACATTTGATATTGATAGTGATATTAAAAAATGAAAAGTCATTAAATTTATTAAAATAGTAACCGCATATGAAGTTTATTCAATGAGATTTATGTAGAATAACAATGAAATCATAACGGCAAACCTATTAACTCATCAGTCTTTATCGTAAGTCATTACTTAGTGGTGAAATATTTACTCATTCCTTTCAACAACAGAAGAAAGACATTTTGATATTGTACACATGAATAGATGTGAAGTATTTACATCTATTCATCACAATTAATTCAAATATATGAGAAAGAATCAAATTAAGTTTTCAACCTATCATAATATAATAAGACATTATTAACAATGTCTTTATACCTAAATAGTAAACTGATTAGATAAACTATAGTAGAAAATAAATAAACAAGTCTATCTATTTATGCTATAATCGTTTAAGAGACTGACAATGAAAACAACAATAACATATCAGAAAGAAATATATTTTTCATACGATTAGTTAAGAAGCAATAAGCTTTAAACGGAAAAATATAATTTACGTCAATTGGTATCATACGATCCCATTATCCTATTTATTTAAACCTTAGAAGGTATATAACTTCCTTTCATTTTCTTCTTTTTATCCATATAGAAAAAAGTGATAAATAAAACAAACTAGCATTATAAAAATTATGGATAGTGGCTAGTAGTGGAATCCAAGATGCGAGTTTCGTCCTAATTGAGACTCGTCAGCTAGATGTACCTGCATCTCAGAGTTGTTCACCCCAAGACTCAAACTCAGTACTGTTCGTCTTAAACGCCATCGCATTATCCACTTAGCTACTGAGTCCTGACAGCCACTTGCTTGTGCGATGGGATGAAGTTTAAATTCACTTGGTATTATTTACTTGAATCTTCCCATTGTTGTTTAGGACTGCAATTAATCAGTCTCTTGTTGGCATATGTGCACACTGTGAGTATTGCTTCGATATCCATCTCTGCTTATAATGCTTGTGATTTAAGGCAATATCAAAGCAATCCGCACAGGATGCACATATGCTAACAAGAGATTGATCAATTACAGCCCTAAACAATAATGAGAAGATAAAGCAAACAGCACCAAGTGAATTTAAAAACAAGATTTTCGAATATTTCAGATGATTATGCTGTTATGATTACTTCGTGTTCGTAATTTAAATCAGTCATTCGATAGTGAAAACATATTAATAGATTGGAATGTTTCATTATTTAGATGAACTAGAAAATGTTATATGTATCCTTTGAATTGGGAAGTTTAATGTATTAAACTATTGATGTATTATACCAAAACATTCTTCACCACCTCGGAATTTGAATATGTTATTTATGAACAAACTCTTCTGAATTAATATGAAGAATGACTGATTGTCTAATGAATCATTTTGTCCTCATAGATTAGTCAGTTTTTCTCGTCTGATAAGTAACCTATAGTTATATTATTCATTGGCTCAATATTTTGTAGAAAAATAACTATAGTAACATTATATATATATATATGCGATCTCATTTACAGATGATATCAAAACATTAAGATAATGATTTGATCAGACTGAGTACTTACAAAACATTTGCTATTGACATTATGCGAAAAGAACCATAAGCAATGGTTGATTTACATTACTGCATACATAGATAAGTTTTTCTTATCTTAATTATATACTGCTCAACTACATAGAATGTAGAATGTACAGTTCGAAATATTTTTTTGTTTTTAATGGATTAACAAAATAAAGAAAGTATAATCTTGCGTTTATTAACAAAACCATTTTCAAAGTAAAATTGAAAAAAAAACCGTTTCCAATTGTTATAAATCTCTCTCTTCTTACGGTTATGACCCAGCTATTCCTATTGCTTAGTATTCTTGGACACTAAATCACTCGACAAGACCCCAAATCAGAACACGGTTGAACAGGAAAGATATTATATTCCAAATAACAAGGTTAGATGGAAGCAAGATGCAAGCCAGAAGCACAATAGAGAAAACGTCAGTATATTTATAGTTTTTACATAAGAAGATTCCAGAGTATTCTCCAACTATCGACTAGTGCTGATTGGATAAGAATTAGCCAATCAGTGTGCACCAAAGCAATCATGCATTGAGCATTCTTTAATCTAGTCTATGTCCCGCTAACACCAATTATGAATTCCTGTTGGCAAAATCACCCTATCATGAATTTGATCCAGAAAGCGTTAAGTTTATTCATTCACCGATCCTTGACGTTTAGCTTGATTATTACATACCTTATTCATTATTTTATTACGATCATTTATTCATGTCTGCACGCACATAACAATTATTACAAGATCAAACTGTGTTAAAATAAATCACGGGGATAATAAAATGAAATTCAGTTTACTACTTGTGCATTAAACATTTGATTACCTTTCAAGTCCAGTAATCATTATTACCAACTAGTAAAAACGGTTATCAGTTTTTCCTAAATCATTTAATAATAAACATAAGTGTTTGCGCGCGAGTCCTGGGTTCGAATCTCGCAGGTGCGCACTGCTGAGGAGTCCCATACTAGGACGAAACGGCCTTCCATGGTGATCTAGCTTCAATTTATTCATGAATCCAATCATAAAATTACTAAAATCTCTATAAAACCCCTTCTGATAATATAAATATTAGTTCTCTTGCCACGATAACTAACAACTTCAGTTCCATTTCTACTTGATCGAAAGAAATTTAAATGAACATTTTATTCCAATGTACATTCACAGACAGGAGTATAGAAGGGTAGTCGGATGAAATTGATGTATATTCTTTTCAAAGTTAAAATTTTTTATCAACACACGGATGGAACATTCAGACAAAATTATTTATTAAAAATAAAATGCAAATTCTCATATCCAATCAAAGCACCTTATGCTAATTGAATTTGAACTAATTAGATTACAATGCACAGTTTACAGCCAATTAACAAAATTTTACAGGCGACAAAAGGTTTGTTTATCATCATATGAGCACACACAAAAACAAGTTCACCAATCACCTATTTCAATTTTTTTAATTACACCTTAAAATATCTCATCAACGGGGGTGGTGGTAGGGAATCAAAACCGCCGTACAATAATTTTCAACCATGGATAAGGGTTATATAAGTTACATCCCCTGAATTGTCTAACAATCAAGGATGTAACTTATTTACTCCAAAAACATAAGAAATTTCATAGACTAAACAACTTCAAATACATTCTAGTCTGATGAATTAGAAATCGAAATGTTTACGCGACCTAAATGTTGCAATATTCTAATATACAAGAAATATATTTTGAATGTATATTCATAAGCAGGTGTTTCACTTGTGTTTATTTACCGATATAGTGATATTTGAGTCCTGTCTTGTAACAAAAAGTATAACAAAGAGAAAAATTGAAACTCCATTACCCAAAATGTACTCTAACCAATAAGTATCTGAGTCATTAGATTGGAAGTAATGTTTTCATCACGAATTGATGTTAGATAAATCCTTTGGTTATTTCATAAAACATTTTCAATATGTCACCATCAAAATTCAAGAAAAAGTGGTCTCGTCAACTGAGTGACTTATTTCACTAAGTACGACGTTGAAGATATTAAATTTCCAAATTGAACGTAAAAACATGTTATGAAAACATCTTGGTCATTGTAAATACAATAATGCGCATAACTTCTTTACACAAAGCCTATATGACCGTCATGAAAACTGGTGGCTAGAAAAGACTGTATAAATGTAACCGGCATATATATCCCAGTTAGTGCAAGGTGTTGGAAACAGTAGCACAGTGGTAATTATATATTGGCAAGTGGAAGATTTGATGAAGCAGTCCATCGACACATAGCACTAATAAATTTCATCACGTTGTCTTACGTTCCATTCCTGTTGATACTATACCCACTGAAGGTGATAGAGATTTAGAAAAAAAAGGAACGACTACCAATACACCAAAAGACAAACTGTTCAGAAATCTAAATCCTGTTCGTGTCAAAAATTTAGATATCATTTAAGACAGAAACCGAATAGACTGTTCAAAAATATGTAGCAGATCGTGCATTATATCACCGAAATGAAACGACTTTAAAATACCACAGCCTCATTAGTGGTGTGCTCAGTTTAACTATGAGGAGTCATGTGGCCTAGGGTACTGTCCGAAAAAATCCCAGATGCCCGTTTGGCTTTTACCGACTTGTTTCATCTGTTGTACTAGCGATAAACGTGTATGAATAGGAGCAAGGATACAACTACTACAATTCGTTTTAAATTACTTCATGACTGTGAGGGATGTTAGGTTGGCTACTAGTATTTGATGACAGATTTCTCCAAAGCTTTTTTCAAATAATTCGGAACCACTGAGGAGTAATGCTAAAATTAAGCATAGATACACTAAGTAAAAATGGGAAATTAACTGATGAGATTGGGAAATTTCTTACTGATATCAGGTCACTTCGTTTATGACAGCTGTCCCAAGTAGTGTAAACCTACTCCCTAGGATGAGTTTTAATCGTGATCTACGATTAAGATAAAAATATGTCTCTATCAAAGCATTGCAGATTTATTGATTCCTTAAATTCCTCTATATATTAAGCTTAATATTATCCTAAGCCTTTTGTCTTTTGATGCTATTCGTATTCACTTGGGATTATTTTTTATTCGAATTTCCGTTTTAATGGATAATACTATTTTCACTACACTCCGTTGTTCGTATAAAGGTTATGTGAAAATTGTTGAGATCTGTTTGACAACCAGCTCGTAATCTTGACAACTTTCAGCTATATCACTTTCGTCTTTTACTATGCAAATATAAGATGTAAGAACTTGGATTGATGAAGATTTATGCTAAGTTTACCAATATTCGGTATACTTTTCAGCATGATTTACAATTGTAAGTTAAAGGATCAATATATTTTATTAAATTAGTTCTATTCCATTATATATACGCATGTTGAATACAAACTAAACGAAAAACAAAAATAAATTAGAGTAAAACTAGAAACCTTTATAGGAAAAATCCAATTTGCAATGTCTCTGCACATCAAAAAAAGGATACTTTGTTGTGAAAACCAATCATAAACAAAATATGCACAAATGACAATAATATGAAATATTAAGGATATTAGCAAAGTGAACAGGTAGACTTCTAACTAGTTTGTTTTAATGGATAAGGTAAGAAAAGATAGAAATAATAGTAACACTTAAATAAATAAATCTACACATTAGGAAATATAACTATTGACACTCAGTAAATCGAAGGTTTACAAAAACACGCCAATCAGCAGCAACTATTATACAATTTTCATTATATTTAAATATAATAACAATACGAATTAAATTACGAGAGAGAAAAATATACAAATTAAGGTGAAATATATTAGAAAAAGATCAAATAAGATACCGTTAATGCAAACAAAGAAAAAGACATGGTTGTAAGGTAAATACAACAACAACAACAACTACTACTACTAGTAGTAGTGGTAATAGTAATAGTAGTATGAGTTGATTATGCGCATATTTCAGAAGACTTTTATACATATTCTGCATTTACATAATAATAATAATAATAATTTTAATATTGCACTTACTAGAAACAAAATGAAAACTGATAAAATAATAATTGGAACGGACAAGATAGTATTAGAAAATGTATTACAGGCATTTGTATACTATTATACAGAGAAAATAATTTCAGATTACTTTCATGTTGAAAATGGAAAGTTAAAAAAAGAAAGAAATTTAGACGTCAGCTCAAACTATACACAATTACAAAAATCAGTAATGTTAATTTAAGTCGAAAAAAGTCAGCATAATAAAACAACCTCCTCCTTTCACCTTCAAATGTAACAAAAGTAAATGAATTTGCTCATGGACAATATAAAACATTAGCTTACATTGAATAATCAGATACCTAATTGGCAAAATCAATATTATATATATTTATATGATGAACGGAAGGAAGAGTAATATAACAACTTCATGTTTAATTTATGTATGGATGTGTAAGGCTGGAAAATGAATATACAATTTATGAAACACTTTTTCAAGTTATACTTTTTTAAGCATAAAATTCTCTTGTTGGTGCTCTTGTATAAGTATCAACTGTGGGTAACTTTTTCGGTTCATCCAAAGCATAAGATCCTTCATCTTTTTTACGTAAACGATAAATACAGAATAGAATGAGCAAAATTAACAATAGCAAGACAAGTACTACACTTCCAACGATACCTAAAATAGTAGGAAAAGGAATTGGAAGCAACAAAAGCAGAGAAAAATTATGTCACAATCCAATCCCATTAGGTATAAAAAATCAGACAGATAAAAAAAGGCGTGTCAGACAATTGATTGTTACTTGAAACTTATTTTACATTGTTCTATGTCAAAATTTCATCCGCGAATTTCTAAGGCACATAGTAGAACCAGTAACATGCATGCATCGGATCAAGTTGCCATACCTCAGTAGCACAACAAGATGAATACCAAACTCATAAAATCAGTTACTTCAATGGTAGTAAAAAAACGTTTCATATACGGACACGATAAAAAGAGGAGAATTAGTTTATAGAAAGAAAGGTATAAATTAATCTTAATCTCCCGGTTTAAGGGAAGACAAAGAGTGATACACCGACGCCATTGTGATCGATTATGAGCCATGTTACCCAGAGTCTCCGACCACTCATTACGATAGTCGCATGGACCCCAACCAAGTAGTCGCATTTACCGACATAGCTCAGAAGTTAGTGACTTCAAGCACTGATGCCACATTTTGGTTTGGTCGCCCCTAACTTTCTTCCAACCATCCCCAACACTAGTTAGCATTACGTATCATGATCAACGGTGTTCAGGCATACGAAACACGTGGCTCAACAATCTCAGTCAATGAAGATTCACAACCTCATCAACTGATTTACCATCATTCCCTAATACCATGCGTCGAACCTCACTATTACTTACCCGGTTATCCCAGTAGACGCCAGCAATATTTCTAAGGCATCTGTGGTCAAATACTAGTAGCTTACGAGTATCTTCGACTCTTAATGGCCATGCTTCGCAGTCGTAAAGTAAAACAGAACGAACTGCTGCTCAGTATACTCGTCCCTTAATTGATAGATGGATATCTCGACTTTGCGATAGGTGACGTACGTTCACTAGGTCTATGATGAAATCTAACAAAAATGGAGATAATGGACAGCCCTGCCGGACACCACTCGAGGTCGCAAAAAAAATGACAGTTCGCCATAAGCTCTGAGTCGACTGGTAGTGTTAGAGTAAGGAGCCTTCATAAAGTTTATGCACTTCTGATGTATACCTTTAAATGACAGACACCGCCACAGAGCTTCTCGGTCAACAGAGCCAAATGCTGCTTTCAAGTCAACAAAAACCATCATATTCGGACGCTGATAAGCATTCCTGTGTTCTAAAATCTGACAAATGGTGAAAATGTGGTCGACGAAGCCACGACCAGGTTTGAAGCTAGACTGGTCTTCTCTTATTCTCAGTTCATAATTTTTTGTTAGGCGCCTGATAATTATTGAGGCTGGTGTTTTAGACGCTATGTTAGTCAAACTAATCCCTCTATGGTTATCACAGGATGATTTTGACCCCTTCTTATATTTTGATGGAGTTTTGTTCTCTGAGCTGGATGGTTCGGTCATGGAGCTTTCATCGTTCTTCTGAACGACAACATCAGCACAAACTTCAGGTAAAAGTGGAGTTTTCGAGTTTCTCCACATGTGGTTCACAGCTTGTTCTGTACACCTCGATGTTGATTGGTTCTTGTTGACCTTAAATCTATCATCGTACCTTGGGTTTGCTGCTTTTAGTCACACCGCTCTTCAATTAACCTGTCTGGCATGGTAGGACCTTGAGGAACGATTGTTCCAGCCAGTATAGACCGATTGGGTCATCACGAAGTTAACCAAAACGATATACACACAATAGGAAATTTCAAATGAGATACAATTTTAACAACTGCTATCAGCAAATCTCAATACCCAAGTTAACCTTACAAGATTTTCGCAACGAATTTCGAATGTACACAGAATAACTCACGGCATTTTTGTATCCTATTTACGTCATATACATACGATAATGTTTAATTAACTTCACTAGGTTTCTAAGCTAAAAACACAGGAATAGTGATCAATTACGACTAAAGTACTCATCATTTAACTGCCTTACTCAAACATATAAGGACAACACGTAATAGTAAATAACTTAAACAATGTGTCAGACGTTTTAATCAAGCTATCCCAAAGATTTTTACTTTATATAATATAGTATTCTGATCCATAGTTAAAGTATTTGGCTTTCAGCTACTAGTCTACAAACTTGAACCCCTCTGTATTAACACACTTCGGCTTAAGCAACCAATTAGACAGAATGAAATTTTCTACATATACTAAATGACAGATTAAAACAAATGAGAATTTACTATATAATTGTTAGGGATGCAGAGGAATATACCAATAATTATCGTGTTAAGTCTAATGGTGTCCTTGGACTTTAAATGAACATTCCCTATTGGTCGATATTTACTTCACTCGTTAAATATTGTGTAAATGTTGTTTTCTATTTTATGGTACGATGTTGTTTGTTTGTTTGGTATATAAATAGAGTATGTCTGAAATATAATGATTCATATCTCAGAGGCTAAGACTTGCGTTCTGGACTCAACTGGCTGGGCTAGACAGGGAAGCGGGACCAATCGAGACTCTAGGCCGTTCGTACGTGTTTTCCGTGTCATTGAATCGATCGATAAAACGCTGATCTCTAATCCGCAGCATCACAGTCACAACAATAACTTTCTTATAACATCTAAGTAGAACAGTGAACTAACATTAGTACTAGTACTAATGTTACTACTATGGACATTTCAGCTTAGACAATGAATAAAACTTCAAAAATTTGTAATTACACTACGAGATGCAACAGAATTAAGCATACATAGTTTTAATATTGTTGGTAGGTTTCGACTAAGTAAAAAATAAATTAATAAATATGACGAAAATGATCAGCGATAGTAAAAGTTTTTATTGCATAGACCATGAAATCATGCTTTAAGCAGTAGTATACAATCTAAGAGCACAAACTAATTAGCTATGATATTAAATGCTTACCAGCTATTACACCAGGTTGACTTAAAATTTTTGATGTTGATGTCCCAGAATTCCATGACTGATGAAGTGATCTACTATGTATTGAGGTTTGACGTACAGCTGAAACACCGCCGCTTAAAGTATTCGGTTCAAAAGGTCCAAGTTTATGTGCTACATTTTCGGAGGATGACGATGATGATGATTTAGGACCTAAAGATTTTAAACTTGATGGTTCATGTGAAAGGAGATAGGAATTTTCGCTCATTTCTATGAACAAAAATGTCATAAAATGAAAAGAGGATAAAAACAAAAGATGTCTGAATGCTTCCTGAAATAATACAAGTAACGGAAAAGTCGTTTGAATAAAATTGTTAATGAATAAAACTATTGAGCTATGATGATACAATCCATACTTGAAAAAAGGCAGCAAATTCATACAGAAAAAAAAAGACTTATGGTTTTGGATTTTACTTTCCTTAGGCTCTATACACTCGTCTGTTTGTTGTATCTAACTACTCTGTTTTCAGTTCCAACAATTAGAAAGAATGAGTGCATGTTAAAATTTTGAAGACCACTGATGGGTTTTTTTTAGGAAAAAAACATTCTTTACACAGAAACGATGACTTGGAGTGCACATATGCAGAGGTCAGAAACTAATTTCAATGTGAAATTATATGCTAAAACGTTTTCAGTGGATTAAACTGGTAACAAACGACTGTATTTAAGTCTAGTGGAATGACTTTTATATGAATTCTATACTTAAATATAGAGAAAGGATTTTGAAAACAGTTGTCAGTCATATGGACTGTAGAACCTAACACATTTGCGTCGGTTCACGTTGTCATACTATATTAGCACAGTGAGATAAAATTACCAAAAGAAATCGAAGTGATAATAGTACAAGCAGTACAAATAGTGATAGAAAAGATTAGATGTGAAGGTAAGTATAAAATTTTAGAGCTCAGAATTAAAATGAAAACAAAGAGTGAATGGACGACCATGTTAAGCCATATCATCAAGTCTCTAACCACTGGTTACGATAACCGCGCAAACCCCAAACAGATAATTTTCATCTACCTACATTTCTATAAAATTCTTAGATATTAAAAAAACTGGGAGAAAAAAATATCAAACACATCTTTACAGACAAATTTTATAGATTGTTCCCACAAAAATACATGTTTAATGATAAGGATAGTAGACATAAAGAATGTTACAATAATGATTATTTTGACTGTAAAAGTTAGCATATATATATATTGTTACCTGAACTTCTCACTGCAACCATTTTATGCCCAACTGTTGGTATTAAAGATTTAGACTGTTGATGTTGTTGCTGAGATATTTCATTTTCAGAAAAATGAGAATTAATCTAAATAAAACATTTATAAAATAAAATATTGGGATTGAATTCTATTTATATTCACTAAAAATTAAGATATTTAATTGTCATATAAAGGAGAATATATATATATATATATATATATATATATATATATAAAACAAACTAAATTTAATAGGTAATATTTTAATTAAAATATTCATTGATAGCCGAAAATAGTAATAATAATAGGAGGATACCAATCTAGTTGAAATGTTAACGGTTATTTTAAACTTTAAAATGAATAAAGTTTATTATAGGAACTATGATTATTATTACTTATTGTCATTGTTAATAATATTATTTTTATTTTTGTAGTTCAGTTACATTTTAGGTAAACAACTAAAAACTGATTTGTGAAATAAGAATAGCTTGTGAATAAGTAGTGTTTTTTTAAGAAAAAAAGAAAGAAAAGTGATGAAAAATGGGTTAGTTGAATAGGAATATAATCTTATTTCTTATTTAATAATACGTAAAAATATAAACAAAAAGGGAAAACGATTGATTTAGGTCATTTTAATTTTATTTCATTTACCTAACGCTTTTAGTAGACTGATGGAGCAAAGATAATTTATCAAAAATTAGATATTTCCTTCTTTAAAAAGTTACATTCAAGGTAATGACTAAAGTGGAATAGTCGACTTGATATTTCAAGGATTGTGGATTCTAACCCTAGTTCATAGGCTTCTGTTTGAATAAGCGAGTATTTTTACTGACTTTCGTATCAAAAGTGTGAGCCTGAAAGCACAACACATGAATGTATATTAGAGTTAGTAGGTTTATTTTTTCCAGCCGCCTAGGTTACTACTGAAAGGTTAACAACAACAATATTGCATCTAAAAATCAATCGCTTCATTAAATGCAAACAAAAGCAAAATTTTAACTTACTTGTTTGTCTGACAATAAATCTTCAGATTCATGAGATGCTAAAGGTGCTGGGTCTGCGTAGATAAGACGTGCGGATAAGGGAAAAATAAATTCCAAAAATAATTATTGATATTGGTAACAATAATAATGTAACTGAATAAATAAGTACAGGTTTGTTTGATCCAGTTTCAGTGACACGTTTCATGTAAGAGCTAATGATACAACTCGGTTGACCAAACCTGAAACGCCGACTTGAATTTACAATCTAATAAAAAAAACTAGTAGTTTTCTATATATCGTGATAAGTTACGGTATTAAGGAAATTATTTACTATTCGACAAAATGTAGACGTAAAGCTATGCAATATGAGTTTGAATGACTTGTGAGAAAAAAGGAAGAGAAAATAAGACAAAAACAAACAATCAACGGGTTGCACTAACAAAGGTATTTAATTAAACCTTCAGGACAGTCATTCAATTGATGGTAGTTAATATTCAAACTAGAACAAACGTGTGTTAGCTCAAGTCATTATATCACACTAACATGAGATGAAGTTAACATAATAACTCCTAAAAGAGTTAAGAAAATGTAACAACAACGGTAATGAGAAAGACTAAGCACTATGAATATGGTTCGAAGAGAAGCGGTGAAGAGGTACAGGTGAAGAAATTCTGAAACTCTGGAAGACAGTGAATGCATCTCTTTCATCATGACCGATTTTAAGCAACCATTCAACAATTACAACTATTAGTTAAGATAATCGTGAAGACCTCAATCAGGTAGTCTGCATCCAACAACATGGCTCGATACAGTTATCAGTGACTTCAAGGACTGATGCCATATCTTGGTTTGGTCTCTTCTGGCTTTCCTCCAACTTATCACTACTCTGAGCAGTATTATGTATCGTGGTAAGTAGTGATTAAGAGTACGTAACACAAACCTTGGCTACCTCAGTCGATGAAGACCCACAAGCTCATCGAGATATCATATTTTCTTATTATCTTATGCCTAACTTCGGCATTGGTCATTCGGTCGTGTGAAGTGCCGATAAAATGGAAAAATTCAATTGCACTTCATGACAAATATTTAGAAGAACCTTGAACAGTATAGTATCAACTTGTATTTGTGGTTATTGTGTGTAAACAGTCGAATATTATGAATTTCATGAAAAATCGATACTTATCATCAATCTGCTGAATAATTTTAAGTGTCATAACAAACAATTCTTACACAAAGAACAAATTAATCACCACAGATTATTTAAAACATAATGGAGCGATTAAACCATTCATGACAGAGAGCAGAATACAAAATCAAAATTTCCCATCTGAGTTGTAAACCTACATTTAACAGAAACTGAATGAGTATCAATTTTACTTTTAGGAGCATGTGGGGCACGACCAGTAATTAATATCAGATTGGTATAATAACTTATTAGTTTACTTACTAAACTGTGTGTTATTATTAGATAACGAAAAACTAGTTACTTATGTCTGAGCATTCAGGAGCTGGTGCTTATTATTGACCCATAAATGTCCACAATTCATAGCTTATCAGGAAAACATGTATACAGTTTGTGTGTAAGAGTAAAATTATTCTTTTAAAATGTTTCCTAGATCTGTAAAGTAAATACTTTATCCCCGTGTCTAACATTGGTTCTCACGCATGCTAATCTGAAAGAACCTAAAATAAAATGAAAGTTGAGAAGTCGTATTGTACGTACGCGATTTCTTTAAAACGTTTGATAGACATTCAAGTTCACAATCCCTGAAACTGAAATATGCTGTTTTCGTCTGTTTTACTCGCAACCCATCAATATTGAATCAGTAATATCAGAGTATAATTTAGAAAGCACGTATACATTCATGGTAGCCTAAATCAAATGTTTTTTAAGAGGAGCTAACTTACCTTTGTCAAAATATTAACCAAAAAATATACGTGCTTTTATTTGTGCTCATCATTCTTCTTATGCCCATTATGGATTTACAATGGCTAAGGAGCTGAGTGAGGACATTAGGACGCATACACAAATATAAGTTAGATGTATTAGAAACTATCCGCTGGTATTATGGTGTATGCTACTTATGGTGACAGACACAATCAGTATGTAACACCAATCGGAAGTGGAAACCCTGGCAGCAGAACGCTAAGAAGATCGAGTTGAAGAGAATGGAAGAGAAAAAAAAGGAATTTTGAACTAGCAGAATCATACAGAATGTGAAGGACAAACGATGAAAATTCGCAAACGAAGTATTCAATGTATGGTTCTCATATTTTACCAAAGCATTCTGTAATTTCACTTGAAAATACATGGGGTCTCTCCACCTATTTCTTCATCTATTGCAGTATCACCTGGTTAATTATTTTCTAGAAGTGGAATATTACTAAACACTTTCTATGTACCTAAAAACTTTTTTAACCTATATTTTGAACTATATGCATTCAAAAGATACATCTTATTACAAACTAAAGTTAACTGAAGTCATTACCTGGAATTTTAGGCTCTAGGATTTTTACATAGCTTATACGTGGATCAACAGCACCAACATCTGATAAAAATCCTTCGTGAAGGCGATTTTCCAAAAGATCCTGAGGTGCTTGCAAAGAGTTATGACCAGTAGAGGTCAGCTGGACTTGATAGTATGCAAATTCGGAACTGTTATGCAAATTTTGAACATCTGGAATGGCGGATATGCGAGTAACGCTTGTTACTTGTTGAAATCCAACAGCTGAACGTAAAATTCTTTCTATGCTATTTTTTATATGTAACTTTAAGGAGGCATCGGAATCCCATAGCACACCATCAACATCACCAGTCTCAGATGAACTTTCTTGACGCGGTTCGCCAACAACAGAAGTCGGCAGGATACTTCGTGTGTGTAAAGCAAGCAAAACTGAATAAACGGCTGAAAGAAAACACAAAAATGAATAACTTATGGGAGTAGACAAAAGTAAACAGTTTAGAATTTGAAGATATTGACTAAAAGAAACATTAAATTTTTATTACTGATTGATGTTATGGTACTCTGAGATGGAATTTATACATACGGAAAATCCGCTCACATCATACTTCAAGATTCTCATTGTATTCTTAGTAAGCTTCAGTCGATTATATAAAAATTCAGTATTCTTAATAAGACAATCAACAGTCTGCACCTGGTTCTGTAGATATTGGAACAAATCGTTTGCCTTAGTACCCATAGGGATAATTATTAAATCTTTAGCTACAAAAATAAAAAAACTAAATTAGAAATGGAACAACCTAGAGAGCCAACGAGTTGTGCTGAAATATGTTGTCATGTCAGTTATCAATTCATTAAATTATCAAAACAAATTAAGCTGTTACAGCCGTCATTGTTGAAATAAAAAATATGCAAAGAGTTAAGCAAATAAACAAGACATAGAGATCGTAGATTAAGCCACCAATCAATGGAAACAGGTAAACAACTAAGGTTTCCAATGCATATATACATAGTGCAGAAAAGGACCATGAGTATATTCCACGACACTATACAAATCCCCCATACAGTTCGAAGCATTAGGTACACAATTATTTTAAGTGTTTGAAGGGAACCACACTTATCTTATTTGCTCGCTTAGTTTAGTCAAAATAAACACTTATCTTCTTAAGGTGACCCGCATGAGTCATCAATCTTCACATTACCGCCACTGAACTATCAAGACAAAACTCGTCACCACAGTAAATTAATAATCTGCATAGCCCAATTACTAGGCGGTGATCAGTCTCAACAAGTAGTGTAGCTCCTAGTATAAGTAGCTTGTAGATTCTGACCAACACTGAAAAGTAAAATATGGTACTGGTTACTATCTGGAAATTACGTTAACGATGGAGTTAACGTAACTTTGTAGTGTAATAAACGCATGAGTCTAATATTATGAAAAGTGATGACTACGTTAGGGTTAACCGACCTAGTTACTTGTTGCTAATTTTTTTGAATTTTGAACCACAGCCCATGTCGTGTCACATGAAGGAAAAGTGAGACGTCCTACTGTCTGTTTACGGTGTAATATACTTCATGCCAATTCGTCCTGGTTTTCTTAACACCTTTGAAACATGTCATGTTAAACAATAATTCATATTTTGCACAACATTAATATAAAAGCAAACACGAAACCTAAAAAAAGTCTAAAAAATTAAGAAGCAATCCTTTTATTAAATTTTTACTGTAACTTTTTCACACAAAGACGCACGTATCTAGCAGTTTCACCGTGTGGAAGTAGGTTGAAATAAAGTTAAGGGTTGCCAAGCCAAGACCTGACATCAGTCCTTAAAGACCCTGACAACTGCATTGAGCCATATACTTAGATCTTGAAAGCCCTATATACAAACACCTCAGGTAGATTGAGGGCATACAACCACCTCTCGTCATTGTTTCATCCAATATCGTCCCAGAGAATTCCTCGTCGTGCATTATTTGCCGACGCTGGGACTGGTTGGAAAAAGCAGAGAGGTGGCCAATGTATGGAATGGTGTCGTGGTATGAAACAAAGTTGTACAGGACTAGGTTCTGTAGGTCTTTTACGAACTCTTGGTTGGAGTCCTAGAGATGATGCAACACAGTGGCTAGAGACGTTATCAAACATGGCTCAGAATAGCAGTCAGTGGCGATCCTGCCGTAACTTGCTCTTACTTCCTTCGTAAAAGATTAACGTAACTTCTTTAGCTGAAAGAATTTCTTATGGTTATATACTGAACTGTCTCTCCCATTATTATTATTTCACTACGATACACTAATTTCTGTTATTTGTTGTCCTCCTGTTATACGCACTTTACATTCTCAATCTCTTCACAACCTTATTTTTATTGTGTGGTGCATATGTATTTGGTTCCCCCTTGTACCAATGAATATGTATTCAAATAAATAAATAGATAAGATCCAGGTTACCTAACTAAGGTCCTCATGATTGCCATAACCAATGGTTGGAAATATCGAGTGACATTGTTTAGAACCAGTCGCAATCAAGCAGATACATTCACTTGTTCTTCATCAGACCTTGAGTCCTAAAATTATATTATATTGTTTATTTCACGAATTCATCTTTTCTTCCTGCTTCATATCGTATATTTCCAATTTTCCACTACCACTGATACTATTACTTCTGCATCTCTGGTATTCGTCTCGGTAATTTCACCAAGCTATGATATTATGGTGTGGCAACAAACTGGTGGACATATATGCCAGGTTTTACGTAAATTACCGCTGGTTGACTGTATTTCACTATGTATGACTGATAAATACAAATAAAACGCTTGGCGTTGCACTAATGTTAAAATACAACCATCAACTGGTTTCTAAAATGCTCTGAAGTTTTATTAGAATCAGTCGCAAGAAAAATCTTAAACCGTCAATTACTTATACACATACCTGTAGAACAATCTCCTACTTCAACAGGGCTTGCACGTGTACCCAATAGTGTTACTCCAGTGGTTACATTGACACAAAAGCAGTCATACTCATTACACTGTCTAGCAACATACAAGTCTGGTCGGTCCAGACGACACTGTGGAATATATGCAGACACTATTCTTCCGTCTTCATCAGTCCCATAAAACTGATGGTTTGTAAATGTTTTATTTCTTAAATATAGTGGGTTGCCTGGTGATTTGTCTCTCTCCGATTTCCCATTCTGCACTATCTGGTATTGAATTTCCCGTACAGTGTGCTCGCAGTTAGCTGTATAACAAAAAAGCAATTTGATATGACTATGGTTATTTTATTAATTTTCTGGAAAATGCTGCAAATAGAAATTCATTCTGGAAGCTCTTGCCAATGGTGAATGTAAATGTGACACTGATAGAGCCTTACATGGACCGCCACTCAGTGTTCACAAGCCTTCGTAGTTGGACAATATGAAATCAGTGTATGGTAGGGTAAAAGTTGATATGCTGAAGATTAAATATTATGTAAGTTTCTTTATTTTAAAAGTAGCAGTCACCTCCTAAAATTCTCAAAATATACCATCAACAATTCCTATCGGTTTACTGACGCTTTACTGAAAAATTCACTACAGAATACGCGTCCCATAGTACTACCAGAAATAAAATAAATTGTAGAGATGTACGATAAAAAGCAAAACCTACGTATGGTAGGTAGAAATTAACAAAAAGCACCACATTTCTTGTCAAGCGCGATAGAAATTCGAGCATGCCACATCATTATAATACATACAAATTCGCTAGAATAAATTATATTATGCAACTTAGAATGCATAAAAGTATTGTTCTGAAAGCAGTGTTTCACCAGGCCAAAATGACGTGCCATATCTTTCTAACAAAGAATCAAGTCAAAAGTTTTTTATTTTAGAAAAAACTCATTAATGCGGTAGTGTTTTTTAGACATCAATGCGCCATTTTCTACATATTTTTGAAAATAATAATATTACTTGTTCACTTACCGTTTAAAATTGGATGGTTATCAATAACGGGAACAATTAGTCCATTTTGAGCGTAAACATATAGATTATATGGAGCTACGTTTTCAAAGAAACGGTATGCCAGATACAGGAAAATACAGCGTAAAATAGGAGCACCCATTGAAAACATCTGAACGATGCGGGATATCTTAGTTCATGGTGAATCAACAAGGTTAAACAAAAATGTCAACCATCACATTAAAGATGAGACATCCGAAAACAATAACATGATCACAAATCATGAGGTCGATAAACCATTAAGATATATCGGTACCAATTTTATACCTAATTATTTTTATTTCTTCCTTTCATTATGGGAATACTAGTCTCCGACATCACCTTAAAATGCAAAGAACCACATCAACGGCATAAACTTTAGCTAGAAGTGCAGTGTTTGAGTTTCCTCACAGATGACTCACAGCTTGATTAGTTACTTTTGACATTTAACCTGTCACTGTCTACTTTATTTTGATATTATCTTCCGCTAATTTGATTCTTGGTCATATATTTGTCTACGATCTTGCTGCTAGATCGATAGATTGAATAGATTTCAATGTGCCTTTTTATTGCTGGTTGATCTGAGTTCCAAGCTCCCTAAAATTATCTGGCGTCTTTTGAATTCACTCTATCTAAGATCTCAACATTCTTCCGGTCGGACGTGCTTCCACATTTGTCCACATGCATTAAAATCTGCTATAGGGATGATTTAAGAGTAGTGACGAACTGTGGTATGTTGTAGGTTAGAAATATGTGCAGATCGATAGGATTCAAGTTACACAAATTCGTAATCACTTAAAGCATTTAAAAATATAATAATCGACGTCCGATTCCAATAAGTAAATTACGAAATTGTAATGAGACTACAAAATGTAAAATCATAGCGTCTTGTTTGATTGGGATAGAATAGGCGGTTAATAATAATAATGTATTTCTGCGTGAGCAGGTACACGCCATTTTTACAGGCATGATCTACAAATTACAACACTCGTTGGCTTACAGCATGCTTCTCAACTTATTAAGTTTGTAGTTGTTATAAAGCAGACTCGTAGTTTGCTTGCTGTAAACCATGACCTGAATGAGACGCGTACATCAAGTTTGTTCCAGACTTCAGAAGTTCCATAGCTGCGCCCTAGGAGCAAGATTCTGAAGAAAAAAGAGAAACAGAAGAGCAGCAAGGCACTTGGATATGAACTCTAAACATTGCTTAACATTTTTCAGTAGAACAGACAGAGGTATAATAAATCAGATTAAATTCATATTATCTCTTGTTAGAGTAAAATGAAGTCAGAGGCTCCATATAAGAGAATGTAGTAATAAAGAGCAGTGAGTTGTGACATTTAAGAAGTTGGAGTAAGCTCACATGAAGGAAAGTCCAGGTTGGTACAAGGAAAGCGGTTCATTAGAAGGGAGTGTGCATATAGAGGGTGAAGTGTTAAGAATACTAATAACTATATCTTTTATTGTCTAATTTTTTCCCTCTTTCTTTTGTTCATCTGACGCCAACCACACAATCCTAGTGTAAAAGTCCGAGTCAGCACGTTACAGGTTGTCTTAGTAGAATAGCCAATCCAAAATAAAACTGGAAACATGAGTCTGAGTGGTGAGCGTAGGAAGACAATCTATATCACAGATTGATTGACTTATTCTCAATCATAAAGAGCCTGATACATACGAAATGTTCTGCCCCACAAACACGGGTGGATTGAAGTCATCGCCTTCACTATCAATGCTTGCTGGTCAGTAACTCCACCTTCACTCCTTTTGTGATGTTAGGCTCATTGAAGCTTTTTTTGGATATATGTCATACCTCACACAATCATCTGTGTTTCACATCCTGTTGGAAAACACTATTTCTATAAGTACCACTTTACGAGCTTATCAGACAGTTACAAGTTATGGACTGTGGGTAAGGCATCGATGCAGTGCTTTAATTGACTACAGTATAAAGTGTAGTTTGCCAATTAGAGTATAAGCATTGAGAAGGGTATAATGTAGGACAGTTGTTTATTAAAGTAGGCGTAAGGTACACAAGTATACGAGGTGTAGATAAGGTAACGAGTGGAGAAATAATATTAATTGCTAGTCAACAAAGTGTACAGAAGAGTAAAAAGCTAATAAAGAATAAACAGGAAGAAACTCACGCTAATTCGGTACTGATGTGATTTTGTGTTGTCCTAACCACGGGTTATTGGTCGAGGTGTAGATGTTTTAGAGTTAATCTTGGTTATTTGATATCTGTTCGTAAGAAAAGACTTAATCCATTGCAAAAGGCGACTTATAATTCCAACTGACTTAAGTCTGTTGATTAGAAGATTATGAGGTACTTTATCAAAGGCTTTCTTAATATCGAAGTACAGTATAATAACTAGTTTCTTCTGGTCACGTATACGAGTAACCTCGTTAAAGAAGTCTATTAGACATGTACTGCACGACCCTGTCCTAATGAAGCCGTGTTGTGACGGGTCTTTTAGATCTTCCTTAAGTAGGTGATCAGATAGTTGATTTTGTATCACTTTTTCCATTATGCGTGATATGACTGGAGAGATATATATGAGTCTGTAGTTTTCGACCAGGTTTCTCGGGCCGGATTTGTGTTTGGGGACAACATACGTTACCATCCAGGTTTTCGGATATATACTTGTCTCTAAAGATAATGTGTATATTTTCAGTAGTAGCGTCTGTATGTCCGGCCCCGACATTTTATAAACGATTGAAGGGGTGTCATCGGCACCAGAACTCGCATTTGGCTTAAGGGTTTTAATGACGGTATGTATGGTCAATTTGGTTTTACGCAGTGTGATCCGGTGAAGTCCATGTGATTTTGTGAACGCGTTTATGTGGGAATATAGTGTTGCCTGTATCCAGTTTATTGAAGGCACATAGGTTTGCAAATCTCTCACCATTTTCATTCCTTTCTCCCAGTCAGTCCATGTCGTCCTGTAGAATTATGGTCAACTATGATATTAGTACTGCTCTAATAATAGACCTAATCCTTAAATTGTAGATTTGTCATGATATAACTGCCTAATCTATAAGATCTTACGTGGAAGTCACACCATCAACTACACCAACTCACTGTATCGTATCAATTACCAATACATGATGTAGAACAAGGTTGGGCTAGAGAAGGAACAATACATTTAATATGAATAGAAGATATAAGGTAACATTCAGCAGAGACCACGCCTGCATGGCCGAGCCATGCCATCCGATCAACTCCAATACATCCAATTAACTGTTTCCGCCTTTTCCATCGTTAAGTATTTCTCCGCGTTAAATATCGAATATCTATTTTCCGATTAGTGTTGTGTTCGGCTTTGAAGATTGTGTGGTTATGGTCCGATGCCACTAAAGTCCCATGATGTCTTCATATCCGATGTTGTCCATTCCAACCTTGGCATTCAAATCTCCCATCAGAATAGTCAGGTCCTTTGTTGGGCACTTCTCGACGATTGACTGCAGCCTATCGTAGAATTGATCTTTAACGTGTTCATTTTAGTCGTTGGTATGCGCATTGCATTGGATGATGTTCATTGAGATGCCATCTTTCTTTGTTTTGAAGGAGGCTTTGATAATCCCTGGTCCATGATATTCTCATCCTATAAGTGCATTTTGTGTTTGTTTTGATAGCATCAGTACAACTCCTTGTGTATGTGAGGCGTTTTATTCTACAAGGTCGGAGTATAACAGAAGCTCCCCTGAAGATAGTCGTTGCTATTCAACCAACATCTAATCAGTCACACCGATTCTGAGCACTCCCAGGTCGTATCTCCTCATTTCTGCAGTAATTTGGAAGACTTGTAGTGGCATTGGACCATAACCACACAATCTTCAAAGCTGAACACAAGACTACTCAGAAAATAGATATTCAACATTTAACGCGGAGAAATACCTAACAATGGAGAAGGCGCGAATAATGAATGGAATGAACTGGAGTTGATCGGATGGCATGGCTCGGCCATGCAGGCGTGGTCTCTGCTGAATGTTACCTTATATCTTCTATTCATATTAAATATATTGTTCCTTCTCCAGCCTAAGCTTGTTCTTCATCATGTATTGGTAGTTGTTACGATACAGTGAGTTGGTGTAGACGGTGATGTGACTTCCACGTAAGATCTTATAGATTAGGCAGTTATATCATGACAAATCTACAATTTTAGAATTAGGTCTATTATTAGAGCAGTACTAATATCATAGTAGACCATAATTCTACATTGGTGAGCCCAACTAAAGAAACGCAACCTATTATTGTTAATCCTTATTTCCACCTTAACCTTCTCAATCGGATTTTATTTTTGTACATCCACTATTCTAATAGTCCTTTGATTAATGGTCACATATATTATCGTAATGTTATATCTCTTAGTTCACATTACTTACTAGCTCAATCGATAATAAAATTTGATCATCTATATCAGCTAATTAGCTTTGATGGTTCGTTAACAAGCTTTAATAGCATTTACATGCTTCAGCGACATAGACTTGTTTAAACATCAAGCTCTAGCAAATATGACCTGTAAATAGCGTAAATATACATTGACTAACAATGCAACCAAGGATTGAATAGTTTTCTGGATCTAATTCTGTGTTCCTTCGCTTAATACCTCATCCTGTTTTAAACTACGCACTATCCTGTAATATCCTTTCTTCCGACCACTGCCTGCCTAATTTCATATTTTTGAGTTCCACTGCCAAACAACAAGGATGACACTTCTCCAAAAAAATACGGTGAGTTTCAGCTATAAGTTTTCTGCAATCATAAGTTCATTTTAGATGGCTCATTCAATGACACACAATTATCTGGATTCATTCAGTTGTTCTGATCAGAGCGAGTCCCAAAAACCTCAACAGCATCAAGCACCCTGGAAGTGATTGCCATATTGTATGTTTTATTCTGGATGCTTTTGGATCATTACTACTCACGAATGGCGTTATATATGTCGTCCACTGAATAATCCAATTTTCAAAAATAATCGAGGCGAGTTCAACCATTTTTCTGGGTGATTTTTTTGTACCTAACATGTATATCCTTTCCTGTTGCTTTTACCACATATTTGTAAGTGACCCTAGGCTAAGTGCACTAACTTCTTATGTAATGTTTATAACGCGTCATATTCCTGCCTGAAGTTTCATAAGCAGTCTTAACTTTAAAATTATTTTT